AGGCTCCCTGCCGAGCAGAGAGCCCGATGCGGGACCTGATCCCAGGACCCTGAGATCATGACCTGGGCTGAAGGCAGAGGCTTAACCCACTGAGCCACCCAGGCGCCCCCTATTAATTATTGCTTCTTAATGGATAAAAATCTGGCCATTGTAAATTTAGTTATCTTTTTAACTATTTCTCTTTTAACACCTTCACTGAGATATAATTAATAACCATGCAATGCTCCCATTTAAAATGTACAATTCTGTGATTTTAGTGTAATTACAAATATGTACAACCATCACCACAGTCAATTTTAGAACATTTTTTCATTGCTTCAAAAAATCCCTCCATATCCTGAAGCATCTCCCACTAAACTCTTCCCCCTCCCGACCAAGCCCTAAGCTTGGTACTTAATGTACTACCTATCTTTATAGATTTGCTTCTTCTAGACATTACTTATAAATGGATCATACAATATGTAGTCTTTTGTGACTGACTTCTTTCACTTAACGTTTCCAAGGTGTTAGTACCTCGTACATTTTTATTGTATGAATAACATTCATAAAACTTAATAATATTCATGCACAGATACAACACACTTTATTTATGCATACATTAGGTGACAGACATTTAGACTATTTCCGTTTTGGGCTGTTATGAATAATGTTGCTATAAACATGTATACAGGCTTTCATATGAACATATTTTTTAAATTTCTCTTGGGTGTATATATAGAAGTAGAATTGCTGGGTTATAGAACTCTGTTTAACCATATGAGGAACTGCTGAACTATTTCTTGAAGTGGCAGTATCATTTTATATTCCCACCAGCAGAGTGAAATGTCACGGCTGCACTTTCTCTACATCCTCACCAACTCTTATTATGTCTTTTTGATTATAGCCACCCTAGTGGGTGTGAAGTTGTATCTCTTGTGGTTTTGATTTCCATTTTCCTGATGACTAGTGATGTTGAGCATCTTTTCATTTATTTTGTTGGGCATTTGTATATCTCTTGATAAATGTTTAAGTCTTTTGTCCATTTTTAAAATTGGGTTATATGTCTTTATGTTGTTTGGATAGAAGATTTTATATATGTAATCTTACATAAGATTATATATTATATATATATATATTCTGGATACTGTATCAGAAATATGATTTACAAATATTTTCTCTCAGTCTGTAAGGTTTTTTTTTTTTTTTCACTTTGTGGATAGTGTACTTTGCACAAAAATTTTTAACTTTGAAGTTGAATTGATCTTTTTGAGGAGGTTGCCTGTGCATTGAGTGTAATATTCAAGAATTCATTTTCAAATCAAAGTTCATGACAATTTACCTTATGTTTTCTTCTAAGTGTTTCATAGTTTTAGCTCTTACATTTAGGTCTTTGATCCATTTTGAATTAATTTTTATATATGGTGTGAGGTAGGGGTTAAACTTTATTCTTCTGAATATGGAAGCCCAAGAATTGTAGCACCATTTGTTTAAGAGACTATGTTCTTTCCCCATGGAATGGTCTTGGTACCCTTGTTGAAATCAATTGAGCAAAAAAGCATATGAGCTTCTTTCTGGACTCTCATTTCAGTCCCATGTCTGTCCTTATGTCAATATTATATTCTTTTGATTATAGTAGTAGTGTGTTTTGAAATCAGGAAGTGTGAGTCCTTCAACTGTATCTCTTTTAGATTGGTTATTTGGAGTGCTTACAATTTTATATGAATTTTACTCTTTTTTTGTTTTTAAAGATTTTATTTATTTGAGAGAGAGAGAAAGCACAAGCGAGGCAAGAGACAGAGGGAAAGGGAGAAGTAGACTCTCCACTGAGCAGGGAGCCCAATGCAGGGCTTGATTCCAGGACCCTGGGATCATGACCTGAGTCAAAGGCAGATGCTTAACCAACTGAGCCACCCAGGTGTCCCTCATATGAATTTCAGACTCAGCTTTTCCATCTCTATAAAAATGGTTTTGGGTGTTTTGACAGAGATTGTACTGAATCTGTAAATTGTGTGGGGGAATACTGTCTTAATAATTTTAAGATTTCCAATCCATAAATATGGGATTCCTTTCCATTATTTAGATTTTTTAAAATGTGTTTCAACAATATTTTATGGTTTTCAGTGTACCAATCTTGCACTTCCTTGGTTAAGTTTATTCCTAAGTGTTTATTCTTTGTGATGCTATTATAAATAGAATTTCTTAATTTTATTCTTGTATTCATTGCAAGTGTATAGATATACAAATGATTTTTTGTATATTGACTTTGTACCTGCAAACTTGCTGAACACATTTATTATCTATAATTGAATTTTAAGAGATACCTTAGGATTTTCTATATATAACATCATGTTCTCTGTAAACTGGGATAGTTTTACCTCTTTCTTTCTGATATGGTTACCTCATTTCTTTCTAGCCTTGGCTAGAGCTCCCAGTGCTGTGTTGAATAGAAGTGGTTAGAGCTGACTTCCTTGTATTGTTCCTGATTATGAGGGGAAAGCATCCAGTTTTTCACCAATAAGTCTGCTGCTAACTTTGGGTTTTTGACACATGTCCCTTATCAGGTTGAAGAAATTCCCTTTTACTCCTAGTTTATTGGATGTTTTTGTCATGAAAGAATATTGGATTCTTTTAATTATCTCTAATCACATCCATTTTAATTTAAATATCTTACATAAAAATAATGGGGTAAGTTATATGAAGTCTGCTTTCTTATAATATCATCTTTTACTTCTAATAGAAACTATATTTTTAAAAATTGAATTCTAAAATGGATGCTTCTTTTTCTTTTACTTCTTGCAGCAACCATTTAATCAGTCAAAATGATGTTTTTCTTTTATATCTTAAATACTATGGTTCCCTTTAAAAAATATTTATACTGGCTTTTTAAATTTCTCTCTACCTTTATTTCTCTCTACCAAAAAAACAGAATTCAGTATACAAGGTCATGAATATTCTGCCACCCCCTTTGCAAGCTGATAAATTCCTCCTCTTGGTCTTGATCTAAAGGGGTAATTAGAGTGCAAAGGCCCTTGTCAAAGTTCCAAGCCCAGCACTCACACATTTATCATGCCACAGTGTTAAGGAGGAGTCTCCTGCTTCTACCGATGTGCTGACTGTAATGGAAGAGGATTTACCTCTGAAAATTTTGGAAATGCTTGCATGTGTGCCCCAAGGCCACCTCCACTAGAACACACCTCTGATGGCTCTTCCCATTACTACTGTCACATCCCAGGACGTAGGGCCCTGGTGCCTTTGCTGTGTCATTCCTGAGCCCAAACAGGGTCTTCAAATGGAAGCAGATTGAGAAGTACAGGTTCAAGGATGAAATACATGGCCTTGGTTTGCCCATCCCTCACCCCAAATGTAAATGAAAGGAAGGCCAAGGATGAGCTGACAAGTCTTCTCACAGAGCAAAGCTCCAGAGTCCCTGCTGTCAGGTCATAAGTATTTATCAGCGCTGCTTGGGCACCAAGCACTATTCAACGTGCCTCACGTGTATTAGTTCTATCGGCCTTATAACCACGCTGTTCATACATTTTACAGATCATGAAACTGAGGCACAAAAATGACAACTTTCCATGGTCACACAGTGGCTAAGACATGAAGTCAGCGTTAAACCCACCGCCTGACTCTTTTCCCTTGACCCAGACAGCAACAGTTCCCCCTGTGCTAGTCCTTGTCCCGTTGCTGTGCCCCAGGGCACATCTGAGCTCTGGTGGAGGAGACAGGCGTTCTCCTTAGGTGACTCCTGAGTAACATTCCTAGTCTTCTTTGCTGTTGGAATTGTCTATCACTCTGCTCTGCGGGTTTTAGGTTTTTCAAGTATTTCAATGAGGAAAGTGAACTGGGCTGGGGAACAGCTATCATCTGAACTCAGAGGTCCTCCTGGAATAATTTGCATATGAACTTGATCTTAATGACTGTGCTAATTTTGCAGTTGAGAATATCAAAGCCTAGAACTGGTTAGTCAACCTCCTCCAAGACAGAGAACCACTGATGGCCCCCCAGTAAGAGAACCCATCCTTATCTGGTTTATTTCCCACTACATTTTGCCAGGTCAAGTTCTGAAAAATCGCGGAGGTGAAATGTAGCTGTCTTTCCTAACCCACTCCCAAAGGTCCGTACGCCGTCAGAAGCCACAGGCAAACTCTGGTTTGAATTCATTTCACCTGCTTGATTTCTTCTTACCATGAAAAATGGAATGCAGACCCTTACTTGAGATTTTTCTCAAATTAGTCTGGATGACGAATGTCTTTTTGAGCTCTTTTATTTGACACCCTATTCATTTTTTTAAACTCCCATTGTTTTGTTCCTGACAGACCTGTTATGTTTCAGATGTGAGACAAATGTACAATTGAGGGAAACTTCTCTATTGTGCTATATTTGCCTCAGATTATTGAGATGACTTAAAAAAAAAAAGTGCACATACCAGGGCATCCTCCTCCTCATAATTTTTCTGGCATATTTAATCGATAGAGATTTCTGGGTTAGATTATTATCAAAGCACGTAGTATTGTAGAACGTGTGGCCTCCGTGATGCTCTTGGCATCTCTTTCCAACACAGGAAGCAGTTTTGCCACTGCTGGGGAAGGCTACTTCCTGGCATAAGGTGACAGGACCTCAGAGGTAGTTGTACTTGGGATAGAGCCTGGGCAGGCTGCATTTTGTGTCACAAATCCAAAGTCCCTTAGCAGACCTGTGGGACTTGAAGAGAGGAAGCAGCATTTGCATCCCTAGTCACACCAATCACGATAAACAGGAACCATTTAGATTTCAGCCCTTTAATGAAAGTTCCCTGAAGTGGTTTTTAAAAGTCAGGCTCTCCTGGCAGAACCAAGTAGGAGAGAAAAGAATGGAATAATTGGAGGCTGCTGTCTTTTCACTTCCCACATAAAATTATTTGAAGAGACAGGCCAGAACTTTAAACAAGCGATACCAAGAAAAGTTGTAATTTGGATGTCTGTTGTTGTGACGTTAGGATGTTTGCTTAAAGGACTTTCTCCCCCCAACTCTCTCCCCAGACATACTTCAATGACAATATCCTGACTCTGATCCGGACCCTTGTGACCGGGGGAGCCACGCCAGAGCTTGAGGCTCTGATTGCTGAGGAGAATGCACTTCGAGGGGGCTACAGCACCCCCCAGACGCTGGCCAACAGGGACCGCTGCCGCGTGGCCCAGTTAGCGCTGCTGGATGGACCCTTTGCGGACTTGGGGGTGAGTTCATGATGTAGAGGTTCCCTGAGCCCAATGACTGGGAATATAACTTGGGCTGAGTGAACGGGGTGCCAGAGAGTGAGGAGCTAGGCACCTGCCTCTTCTTGTTTCTATGGTAAATAACTACAAGGCGATGTTTACGGTTTATTGGCTAGCAGGCCCTGTGCTTTACATACAGTTATTCGTTTTTATTCCCACGGCAATCCTTTGACATAGTTTCTATCATCAGACACTCTAAGGAGACTGAGGCTCAGAGAGAGAGGATTGGACTCATGAGGGATCTGAACCAAAAATCCTGGCTTCGGAGCCCGTGGGCTTCCTCACTCCCGTAGGTGTCTTCTACCATGAGCCAGGAGGCATCCGGTGGTTCCAGCATGCAGCCAAGGCCGGGAGCCCCTTTCCACAGGGTCTTACATACCTCAGGGCTGCTGCACCCCAAAGGCACATTGCTAGGCCATGAGGAACTTTTAGAAACCACCAATGGCCATGCCCAGTTCCCAGGATTCAGAGTGTTTGTATCTGGGTATGACTCAGGGCTTGGAAGTTTTTAAAACACCAACATGCACCTGGAGCCATTGGCCAAACAAACAGTATCTCACGTGGATCCTTTAATGGCTCTAATTTTGGACCTGGGTCTTCGCATTTCTGAGGCTGGACCAAGTCACTCTCCTCCACGCCTTCCCTGCCGCAGAGGGGATGACTAGTACCTGTGGTCCTATAGGCCCCACGCACCCACTGGGTTCACATACTCTGGCCAAAGTCTGCAGTCTTGACCATGACTCTCAGCCTTATTCCACCTCACTGGATGTGTTCAAGGGGTGGAGCCACAAGTCTTGGGAACAAATGTATTTATTGTTCAATAATAGTGTTGCCCAGGGAAAGGGTCACTTTCTTTATTTCTTCTGAAACCCTGATGCTGACTTGCACCATATTTTGGTGTGGTTATGGGCAAGGACCTATGTTAGACTGGGATCTGTCATTGACTTACTGATGAACGTTGGAAGGTAAAGACATTAAATAATGGTAAGATTTGGCCCCATTTGTGTTCTGTCATACGATGGCCATGTGGAAATTCCAATGATAAGGAGGAAAAAGGCAGCCACTTTATTCCCAGAGAAGTCATTCTTCAGGGGCCTTCCTGTTCCGACACCGACCTAAAGCCACCTGGCTGCATGAAGCCAGTATTTCCAAGTGAGTGGGTTTGCTTTCACATTCCACATCAGGCCCCAGACCCTTGGAAGGTGACCGTGAACTGATTAGGACTGTGAATCCCACTTATACAGTCTGCAGCTCCCTGCCTCCTGGGGAAACACATTCTCTACCACCAGTGCCATCTCTGAGGTCTGTAAATTGTGCTTTTCACACAGTCCTTTCCCTGAAAGAGTCTGTCACCATAGTACCTGGTGGGGTCTTTTCTCCTTGCAGTGATTTTAATTATCACTCGAGCCGTTTTGACAACACGGTCAGATCACAGTGATTACAGCTGAGCGGGGGCTAAACATAATCACCATTTCGCAGAGCTGGGTTCTTCCCAGCCAAACATACATCTGAGACCTTCAGGCTTTATACCCTCACTTCAAATGAGGGAGAGGCACACTCTCTTCAGGGCTCTCATTGCTACAGATGGAAAACTGGAGAGAACTGGCGGAGAACCCCATCATTATCTGATCTGTAAAAATGACCAGTGTTAGATGTAAGCTGTTAATCACAATGACTTCGTTAGCCTCGGTCCCTTGGGACAGACCCTCCAATTCAGGAGACACCAACACGAGCTTTCATGAAAAGGGTCTGTTCCCCCTGGACTTCTGCTTTCAGACAAATAAAAACGTTTCTCTCTGTTCTTTTCTTGTCTCCCAGGATGGTGGTTGTTATGGTGATCTGTTCTGCAAAGCTCTGAAAACGTATAATATGCTTTGTTTTGGAATTTACCGGCTGAGAGATGCTCACCTCAGCACCCCCAGCCAATGCACGAAGAGGTGAGTATATTTCCGCTCTGCTCTCCCAACCCAAATGCAGAGACAGAAATACCTTCTCTTGTCCCCCACAATGACGACAGTGCATACTTGCGTACATGCTCTCAGTACGAAACTGACTCTGCACACATTACATCCAACACTGAGTTTGAAGGTTATGGGAGGTTTTTTCTTTAATCACTCATAGCAGATGTAAAGATATTGTGGGAAGAAATCAAGTTTTATAGGTTAGTTCCTGAATAGGAGCATCTCCTCTAAACTCCAGCTACTGGGATCATTCTGTTGGTCCCTAATAGATATTTCATATTGCTAGTGTTTAAGCTAGATGGTTCCTCTGCCATATCTTAGATTCCTGTATTTTTACTGACTATATTTTTAATGGACTTTTTATTTATTTGTTTTTTAAAAAGATTTTATTTATTTGACAGAGATTACAAGTAGGCAGAGAGAGAGAGAGAGAGAGAGAGAGGAGGAAGCAGGCTCCCTGCTGAGCAGAGAGCCTGATGCAGGGCTCGATCCCAGGACCATGAGATCATGACCTGAGCCGAAGGCAGAGGCTTCAACCCACTGAGCCACCCAGGCGCCCCTTAATGGACTTTTTAAACTGTTATGTATTTATTTCAAGAAAATTATGTATTATCAATTTAAGCAGAAAAATATAACCGTTTGTATGTTCTATATATTTTTTAATTCTTTATATTTTCTTTATATTCTTTATATTTTTTAAATTGCATTAAAATAAATTCACAGTGATCCTAAATTAAAAGTATGTCATAGAATTACCAAACTCAGTGTGTCTGAATATTACACCTCCAGAAACAACACTGTAAGATGAGTATTTTTCAGCTTTGCTTGCACATTAGAATCACCAGGGGTGGGATGCCTGGGTGGCTCAGTTGGTTAAGCAGCTGCCTTCAGCTCAGGTCATGATCCCAGCGTCCTGGGATCGAGTCCCACATCAGGCTCCTGCTCAGCAGGGAGCCTGCTTCTCCCTCTGCCTGCCTTGTGCTCACTTTCTCGCTCTCCCTCTCTCTGACAAATAAATAAAATCTTAAAAAAAAAAAAAAAAGAATCACCAGGGATACTTTTTAAAAATATTCTGATTTCTCTGATTTAATTGCTCCGGATTGAAAAGATAGATAATTTTTTTAACGTATAGAGATTATAGTATATAGCCAGAAGTGAGACTCCTGGTATGTCTGGCTTGAGGATCCACTTCGAGGTGTACTACTATAGAGGAAACAGTAAATTTTTTTTTTTGATCCTGTGTGTGTGTGTCTGGAACAAAAGCTGCAGCGCATCTGGGCCACTCAGAATCAGACTTGAACTTGATATTGAATTGGAAGGGGCACGTGGACCGTAGGAAGCACAGTTTGGTTCTCCTGTCATAGGCACTAATTCCAGCATCTCTGCCAGACCTCGTGTGGGCCTCCTGCCCCGAGCCAAAGAGAGGAAGGTTTAGTTCAGTTTGGAAGACAATGTTGAAGGCCTTGGACCAGCTAGAAGCCCATCCTCCAGATGCTCTTCAAGACCCGAGGAGCCTCTTGGTTCAGAGGGGGGTGAACTATGCACCCAGTTATCCTCATGCCCTGACCCCTCTGCTCTCCCGTGCAGGTATGTCATCACCAACCCCCCGTACGAGTTTGAGCTCGTGCCGACAGACCTGATCTTCTGCTTGATGCAGTTCGACCACAACGCCGGCCAGTCCCGGGCCAGCCTCTCCCATTCCTCCCACTCGTCCCAGTCCTCCAGCAAGAAGAGTTCCTCCGTGCACTCCATCCCGTCCACGGCAAACCGACAGAACCGACCCAAGTCCCGGGAGTCCCGAGACAAACAGAAGTACGTGCAGGAGGAGCGCCTCTGATATGTGTAGCCACTGCCACCGTGTGTGAAACTGTATCTGCCACTCATTTCCCCAGTGGGTGTTTCCAACAGTAACTTTCCCCCTTTTCCCCTGTAGTCCCCCCTTTTTTTTACACATATTTGCATATGTATGATAGTGTGCATGTGGTTGTCATTTTTATTTCACCACCATAAAACCCTTGAGCACAACAGCAAATAAGCAGAAGGACCAAAAGTTATTTATGATTCTAGGGGAGAAATAAGCGAAAGGCATGCTCCAGACAAACAGCTCACTGGAGGAAGCGGTTCGCAGAGTAGGGGAGAGCCACTGTGATCCATGTCAGTTATGCAAAGCAAGCTTAGTCAATGTAGAAGAAAAGTTTGTTCTGATTTACCAGGATTATCAGGGTGCTTCGGGTTTTAATTTTGTTGTTGTTTTCCTTCCTTTTTTTTTTTTTTTTGTAATACACATGCAGTAATATATACATACACATTTATTTGAAACGAGCAACCAAAACAGCAACCAAAACATATCGATTGTTTCCACTCTCTGGGCTGAAGTCTAGCAAAGCATTTTAAAAGGCTTTCGCCATTTGTGTAGATGATTATTAAGCACCTGCTTTTATAAGAGAACATCCAAGATTTTTTACTCACCAAGGCCTTTTTGTCCTGGAGCTCGCTTCCTCTGGGAGTTCGTGTGAACGTTTCTGCCCTTACTGTGGAGGAAAGAATAGTATCCCATTAGTGGCTGTATCAAATTCTAGTCATTTAATTTAAGTGAACAGAGGTTTGATTGCGTATTAAATTGTTATGCTGTCTCCTTATGCCATATGACTAGCTATTGTTTTTTTCTTTCACTTTTGACATTTGGGATGAAAAGCCTTATGTATCATAAATATCAGATGTAAGTCATTAAAAACTGCCTTCCTGGGACTTTTACATCTTTTAAAAGGTGAATTACTTACCTTATGTACAGAATAAATAATGCTCAGGAAAGAGCGAGTATTTTTCCATGCATTCTCAGGGGACCTTTTTACTCCCCTTTGTTTGATTAGCTAGGGCCCCGATGCCAGGTAGGAGCAAGGGCTGGGGCCACGGTAGAGCGTGAGGAAGATAAACCCAGCAGCAGATCATGTTTTTCTAGGAGCTGACATGCTAAATAAATCAGAAGGTAGGGGGAATCGAGCCACAGTTGACACAACAAAGACACAAGCTAGCCACCACCTCAGACTGTTGGCCCAGCTGCATGGTGCTGACTGTCCCAAAGCAGGGAGCTAGTGGGAAAACCCCTCCCCAGTTTCTTGAACACGGCCGATTCACTTAGGCAGGCGAATGACAACAGCGAGCTGCTCCTTGTTGTCACGAGGTGGGAGAGAAGTGTGCAACAGTAAGCCAAACACATTTTGGTATAATTTTTTTTTTTCTTTTGTTTTCCTTCTTTCCTTCCTTTTTTTTTTTTTTAAGTTAGTAAGCATGAGAGGAAAGGTAGAAAAATCCCCTTTTCAATATATAGTTGTTAGATGTTGTATGCATGCAAATCAGGCTTTGGACAGGGTGGTAGTTGTTTCAAATCGGTCACCTCCACTGGAACTGAATTCATGTATGTGTGGACTAGCCCTGGGCTGGTGTATACCGATTTGAAATGTCTACTTTAAAAAAAAAAATTCCATAGAGCAGAATAGGGGTGGAGGGGAGGAGAAAAATGCCACACCTATACCATCTCTAAAAAGGTGTTTTTATGGTGAATGCTTTGAGTTTAGATTTCGGACTCCCTCTCCCCCCAAGCATGATAGCTTTGGAGATTTGCTTGCTGTGTGAATTGACAAGCACTTTTACTGACAAAATGGTGAGCCTCAGTCTGAACCTCTGCCCCCATACCAAAGACAGGGCAGTGCAGTATTCGGACCAGGAATGGGGTGGGGCAAAATTGCATACATGGATGTTAAAAAGCCCTATGAGTGGAAGAATTTTTTTCAAATCATTTTTTCCCTATATACATTGATTTCTATATTATAACTATCTTTTTATATAGAACTATATATATATCTCTCTCTATATATCTATACACACATATATACACATATATGTGTGTGTATATATATATATCTATACACACACATATACCCCAGTTTGGGATCCGGAAGAGCTTTTCATGCATTCTTTGCAAAGGAGGTTATAAAGTTGTGCCCATAGAACATTTATAACTATAAGAATGTGCCAGTTAAAGTGCTCAACAGGAAATATGACAGTTTAAAAGCATTGTAAAACTCACATAGCTTACTTCTCTCTCTAAAGTGCAACAAGGATGAATAGAATGGGCCAAGGTATGACAATTAATGGTTCTGCATGACCTAGCCACTGCTGGGGGTTTTCTTCTATAACGTTGTCCTTGTGAAAACTTTTGTGAAATTAAAAAAAAAAAAAAAAGGAGTTACAAATTTTATTCTGTTATTGGTTTGTTTATTTTTATTTATATTGTTCTGTTTGTGGTTTTATTTAGTTTGTTTTGCTTTTTTTTTTTTTTTCCCCTCCCTTCCCTCTCCCCTCCTCTTCCTTCCCTATTTCTCCTCCTTCCTCCACTTTCTAAATTGCTCAGCGCGATGAGGCTATGCTGCTGCTACTGCTAGATCCCTTAGAGTTTGTTTTGGTGTTCTTGGTTTTTGGGGTTGGGTAATTTGGGGGGAACGTCTCTCCATTTGGCTTGCCTTTAAATCTGCACGTGGCCTCCCTGCCCACCTTGGTACCTTGCTCCAAGTCCAAAAGCATTTTCCCATCAAGAAACCCAGCTTCTTCCACTTCCCCCCCATTACCACCCCCCCAACCCAGCCCCCCATCGGTCTGTCCACATCTCTGTGTTTATCTTGGCAAGACCTGCTAAATCAAAGTACGATGCCAGGTGATAAACTTTGCTGGAAAACATTTGCAGCTATTCCATTTGGCAAACCTGCTTCTCGGTTCATATTTTATCCTCCTTTTAATTTAGACCAGGAGGTTTATTAGTGACAAAAGCATTGGTCTCCTTTGTGTGTGATCAGTAGGACCCCAGATGAAAACTGCTCAGTTGTGTGAATCAACTCACAGAGCATGCCCAGTTACCTGGGGCCTCACGGCTCAGGCCCTGCATTATCCAAGTCTCTCCTGCCTCCTGCCTTTCCGGCATTTGCTTCATCCCAACAAGAGATTGGGCAGATAGAGGGAAGTAATTCCAAAACGCATTTTATATACAATCTGTTAGCAGCTCTGATGAGATGATGTTGGGACAGGAATGGAATGGGAATAGACCGTGACATAAGATGAAACTTTGGAATTTTCCCGGGACTTTGGGCACACAACTGAGAGTTGACTGTAGTATGTGGCTAATGATACATTCAATGATGAATAGGTATCATGACCTCTCTTCTACTAGCTGAAACTACTCTGTTGTACTTTCCTCACTAGAACCAAGAGTCTCCTCCGTTGTTTTCCATGTGACTCCAAACTGCCTCATTCCCCTTTCAGGTTCTTTTAGAAGGGAAGCACAGAGGTTCTCAGACTATGTCTCTCCCCTTCTTGCTCCCCATGAAAAAAGAAAAGAATAAGGATGACATAGAAAGAGAGGAAGTAAGAGAAAGAAAGAAAAAAGGAAAAGAAGGAAGAAAGAAAGAAAAGGAAAGAAGGGAGGAAGGGAGGGAAGAAGGAAGGAGAAGGAAAAGAAAAGAGAAAGAAAAAAGAGACACACAGGGAGGGAGAGGGAGGAAGGAAAGAAGGAAGGAAGGAGAAAGAAAAAGAAAAAAGGAAGGGAGGAAGGAAGGAAGGAAGAAAAGGGTAAAGGTAGGAAGTGAAAGAATTATTTGAAGAGAAAGTATATGCATTTAAAAAGACCAACAGCTAGAAACTCAATTATCTGTACCCTTCTACAATAGAAGCAATTTATAAGCCATTCAGTCCAATTTGCTTTAGGCTTTGACAGGCCTGAACCTTAAATAAGTGAGTAGACCAGGAGGTGTGGCAAAGCTCTCAGCCTCAGCCCTCACTCGGATGATCGTAAAATCATCAACATCCCTAAGGACTGCTGCCCAGGGTCCTTCCTGAAGCCAGTTCAAACGGATAAAGAGAAAGCTGGACCCTTATATAGAGAGTTCAACCACAACTGGGAGAAGTTTCAAATTCTGTATGAATATTACAGGTTGTAACCCTGACCCTTAATATAAATGCTCAGTAAATATGTTAAAATAAATTAGTCTTAAATATTTTCAGGCTTTTCATCAAGTTATCAGTTAACTCCCTTATCTTAAAAAAACAAAAAAAAAAAAAACAAAAAAAAACCAAGAACGCCCCCTGGGTGCTTCCTGATGTTCTGTGCTGTTGGCACTTTCTGGAGCTGGGCTCACGGCTGAGAGGGAGAATAGCTTTGTAAGTACAGCAAGACAGAGGTACTGCCTTTGCCTCCTGCCAGCATTGTCAAGCTCTCAGATGACCAATAAAACCTTTGACTGGCTCTTCTTCAGCATGGGAAAAGCCTAAAGGTGTCTGCATCCCAATAGAGACAATTAAATCAACCTGTCAGGTTCCTATAGCAACAGGCTCCTGAAGGATAAAGAGGAGCGTAGAGAAACTTCGGGGCCTGTGGAAGTCAAGACGGTAAAAATCAGTGTCTCACTCAGCTCATTCAGCCCATCCCTGCTTTGTCATAAAAGGGTGATGCAGAATAAGCTGTGGGCACCTGTCACTAAACTGCTTGCCTGTCTCCCACCAGATCGCACATCTATCGCATAGGGAGGGGAGAGGGAATGGTCCCCTGCCACGGGAACGGGAAGAGTGAAGAATCTGTGTTTGGGGTGTCAGCTGCACAAAGGCCCCAGAAAAGGGCCAGAGCAGGCAGTCTGCTCCGCCCAGCGAATGGCAGCGTTAGACTTTAGTTAAAAGAGGCAAATAGGGTCATGGCGGACAACTGCAAATAAGTGTCAGTTTTCATAAACGGAGGCTACTTTGGTTACGGTAGGGATGGTTTTCATTTCTATGAAATAGCCATACTTTGCCCATGGAGAGGGAAGAAGGCAGTATACATGGGTGGGATCCCCTGAGGGCCTTGGGGTGTGTGGGGCAGAGGGCACATGCCAGCCTTCCTCCTGCAAAAGTGAGCTGTGAAACCATCCAGCATTATCTTTGAAGGCTTCAGCTCCTGGTTAGGGCTTACCGTTCTCAGCTGTTGTCTCTATCCATATGGAACCTTTTTCTTTCAAGCCCTTTCTCTCTAAACCTCAGCTTGTGGTACAGCAGGAAGAGGGCCAGTTATTCCAAATACCTTTGCTGTATTATCGTCTCTCCTTTCACACATTCTTCTCTGGGGAGCAGTTATGTGAAAAAGCGAAATCCCACAGCACTGACAACCCACGGAGCCAGCAAAGAGGCTCAGTGTTCACAGCCCAGCCTGTTTCTCTGCTTGCAGGTACCCAAGCGGTCAGGGCAGCCCAGGTCTGGGGCTCTTACATCTCACAGTCCACTCCTCCAGGCTCTTTGTGGCTTGAGGAAGTCGTAGCTCTTACTGTGGACCCTTCTATCTCCATGATGGAAGTAGCAATGGGAGACACAGATGGCTTGTGGGTGGGGCAAGGCACCCGTTGAGTACAAAACCATTATTTTAAGGATGCAGGTCCCTCGGCAGGGTAGCAACCCTAGACTCACCAGAAAGAACACTGGGTCACTCCTTCCTCTCATTTCCTTCCAAATGAAGATAACCCAAGCAAATCTTCCTCTGTCGTCTCTACTGCCAAAAGCCCCGTTCTGCAGGCCAACACCCCAGTTTATGACCTTTAGATCTCTTCCCCCAGCTCATTTGCGGCCACACGTAAAAGGACCACCCATCGTCACGGGAGCCCTTTAGTACTGAGAATACTCACGTTCCTGCTAACCTCACAGGACAAGCTAACACCTTAGCGCTCACTTAGTGCCAGACTCCGCTAAGCAGTTTATGTGCAGTAACTCACTCAATCCTCACACAAGCTCAGATGTACACGCAGTTTGCCTCTCTGTTCAAAGGAATCTGTAGGACAGATTTGTTCAAAGTCATCCAGCCACAAAGCGGCAGAATGGCATTGAAAACTGGCCTATGAACTCTGCCCCTCTGCCGTCATGGCGGCTGCCATTACTAACAGATGCTCAAGAGCTCGCACTTACTTACCAGGCATCTGGACCTGTGCTAAGTGGTGCACCAGCACTAGCCCCTTTCAACTAGACAACAGCATTAGGAAGATCTGATCACGAGTCCTTTTTATAGAAGAGAAGCTGTAACTGAGCTCAGTTACACAGTGACTTGCTTGGAGCCATGCAACTCCCGTGTGAGACCCCAGATCCCTTTGACCTTACCCTCCTGCCCCAGGACATCTCCCTAGCCCATGCCTCCCTGCCAGTCCATGGCCCAGCTGGTCTCCATAGGTGCCGTCTCCCAACCACAGTGCCAGTTCTTCTAGAAGCATCTCTCTGCAGTCAGTGTCTGGGTTGTATCTAGTGTTACTAGCCCATTTTCAGAGACTGCCACGCCTCCCATCGCTGATCTGGGCAGGTCACACACCACCCTTGCCGTGATGATGGCAGGCTCAGCAGCCTCAGGAGAGGCTTGTTAACAAATGGGGCTATTTTTCTCTGGAGGGAGGAGGCCCTCACAGCCAGATCTGTCGCCCTTCCCGTCTCAGGGACAAAAATGAAGCTCCCAGAAATCTTTCTGGCCTGTGGGATGAGGCAGGGAGAGGAGATAAACTCAGGGATTTGGATTTATCCTGGACCAACAGTACATATTCAGTACTTACTTGAATCCCTTCCCTGAGTATTCTTCCTCCCAGCCAATGTTGTAGCCTTCCTCTGGCACAGTCTCTTTTTGGAAGGCGAGATTCAATAAACCCAAGTGTCATAGTCCTACTCGAAGCACTCTCTGTTGAAGCAGACGAGTAACGATCATTAAAGTGTGTGTTCCTCTGATGCCCTTTGGGAAGAATCTCTTCATAAAATACCTCTGCCCCTGGATATTTTACTAGGATGCTCAGAGCATTGGTATATTTCAATTTCCTCAACATCCTATCCAACCAAGTCTCCAACAACATACATATTTATATCTCATAAGGCACCCAAATTAAAAAGCCTGTTTCTCAGACATAATGAAAACCTCGACTCATTACCAGGATGTGCCAGAACATAACTCCTTCTTGTGTGGAAGCTGAACGGCCAAAACACAGGGGCTACTCTGCATAGATTTTCTCCTATGGCAAGAAGTGTAGAAGGAAAGAGAGAATGAAGCTTAAATGGGGAAATAATGCTCTCTTTCTTACTGACAGCAGAAGGAAATTGATATTCTCTCTGCTGCAAAAGGTCAAAATGCCAACTTTGAATTGAACTGTAAAGACTAAATTCTGAACAATTATTCTCTGCAGCAGTTGTAAAAATTTCAGCAAATTGCAGCTGTCTTAGGTCTTTCGCCCAAAAGACCTACTCGTTTCCATCAGCAGAGTTCAGTTTCCTTTCCAACCTGGCATGTCCAGCCTAGCACTAAATCCCTTTGCACAATCAGTCCCCGCAGTGCCACAGCCAAAACCAAGGGCAGCTCAGGCAAACAGCACAGACGCCTGGTTCTGCTTTTCTGAAAACCATCTTTACACATAAACCATTGGAAAAAGTCGGAGTTTGAAATTGTTTCAGCGGCCTGGCAATGCTTTTAAAACATGATAACCATCACACTCTACTCCTCTCTGAAAGGTTAGTTTAATCGTAGATCACAAAAAATTGGTTTCCACAAATGCATAATGGTTCATCTATGTCACACTTGAACTAAATGGTTTTTTAAATGGAGCTGAAATTATTTTGATGTGTACACAGTCCTGGATTTCTATACAACCTTTTTTAACCAGTCCATCAGGAACCTTGCCTCTAAAGCCTCATTAATAATTCAGATGTGCTGATGACTTTAAAAGATCTATGGAATTGAAGCTCAGGAAAAAAAAAAAAAAACTCTGCTTGACAAAAAGATAAATGAATGTAGAAAGAAGCTGTAGGAGTCTGGCAAGCTGTAGATCATCTCAGAACAGATTGTAACTTTATCATTCTGTCAGGGGGAATAATTTAAAGCACTTAATCAGTTAGTTTCACTGTGAGGATGTAGCATTATGAATTCCTATCGTCCAATCTGTTCAAATCAAAGTGAACTTAATTATAATAGGTGAGAGGGCCAGAGCAGGATAAAGGGGAGCAGAGAATGATGGGAGAGAAGGTAGTTTCCTGGGGGTTAACTGAGCTGTGGAACAAAGGGTAGTGAGCAGGATCTCACGGAGGCACACCCCAGCTCCAGCGACAGTGTTTACACTGAGGGCTCAGACTTGACACAGCGGGAGAGAAGACGCATCCAGCAGAAAGCAGCAGAGTGGCTGTGAGCGGACGGCAGGTGTTGAATTTATAGATCATTAGGCTATCAGATAGACGTACAGACGTAAAAACACACATGCGCATGTACCTCCACGCACTCTTCTATCTTGCCAGGTGAGCGAATTTGGTTAACAGATGAGTCCGGGCCCCCTGACCAGGCTGTTGTGACTTGTTCTGATAGGCAGCAATGAGGCCATTGTCTCTAGAGCCCTGGGTGTGCCTGAAAGCTTTTCCCCTTTTCTTTTCTTTTCCTAAGCCACAAATAGGACTCCCAAATTAGAATGTCCTATTTGCCCAGTCTCTTCATGTCTGAACACAGGGTCAGTTATCCAGAAAGTTTCAATCCTAGAAAAAGGCAGGGGCGAGGCCGAGTTGTGTAAAACAGCACTGAAATGCTGAGAGGATGCTAGGCCATTTTCTACCCCTCCCCTCAGCGCATCCCCCACCACTGGCACAAACCACCCCCCCCACACACCACCCAGTCCTCTGACTCAGCATTCTCTCAGCCATCTCTGTATTTAGAGTGGGAAATGAAATGCCAAGACTTGGTCAAGCTCCCTTGTCAACAGCTTGGGTTATTATAGTCGGTTAAGATATTGCCACTAGGAATTCCTTCCCTAACTTTATACCAACACAGAGTTTTCTTTCATGAAATAAAAGCCATCTCAAAATCCTCTTCAAACTTTGGTTGTTATTCTGATGTTTAGTCTCATTGTCCAGCACAATCTGTGGGCTTACTTTAAGACCCTCAAAACTGGCGGGTAAAAAAAAAAAAAAAGAGAGAGAGAAAGAAAAAGAAAAAAAATAAGAAGAATGGTGTATTGAGCTATAACTTGAAATATGTCTGTAACAAAGCCAGGTACAGGCTGAGAGGAGGAGATCCTGCCTAAGATGCTAGATCACTGGCTCTCTGTCAGGGACAATGTCCTTTATGTTCCACTCAAATCCGTGAACGCACAAATCTTTCCTCAGGCACAATGTTCATGGCCAATATTTGATATACTCAGCATCTCCTTCCCACCAAAGCTTTCCAGACCACTAAAAGAACCCCGGAGAACATTGCTGGAGCTCCTCTTCCAACCCCTCCTCATGCTCAGAGGTGCCCCCTTGGTGCCCCCAAGTCCCAAGGATGCATTGGTCATCACTTGCCACGGGCAGCAGAGGTGTCCCACGTTCTGGGGTTCTCCCTACACTGCACTATCTCTTAGTAACTACTCACTGTCAGCTTCTATCGATTACAGTTTTGCATTTTTTTTTCAATGAACTTTCCAAAGGCTTTACCCTAGGACTAATTAAGCTTTTCATTTCTCCTTCTTGTTCTCTATCCGTTTTGCCCTTTAGCAGAAAAGAAATGGTTTACAGATGAACCGGATAATGCCTATCCCAGAAACATTCAAATCAAGCCCATGAGTACCCACATGGCTAACCAGATCAACCAATATAAATCCACAAGCAGCTTGATTCCACCAATCAGAGAAGTTGAAGATGAATGTTGACTCCCAGGAGACCAGAACTATTTTTTTAAAGCCTGACAAACTTCATAAATGGTGACGTGACTTTTCTTCCTCTTACATGCTGAATCACTGGTGGAGACGTTAGGATAAGTGAGAATTGCAAGAAAAATAAAGTAGACAGATCTTTCTCTTTGTCTGCCTTGAATATTGCTTCCATGTATTTTGGAAAAGAAAATGATTTCATTTATAAATGAACATACTAAAATAGTCATGTATAGCCTCTAGCATTTTAAATTATTTTTATTTATTAGAAAGAAATATATTTTTTCTTTTCTTTTTTTCATTGTCAAATATCTTCCCTGTATCTAAACAATGCAAAATCAACATGAGTAAGTGGCCAGACTCCTTAATACATCTTTCTCTTCTTTCTCTCTTTTCCTTTGAGGAGAATGATGGTCACCACCACAATTAATTGTAACGAAGGCCAATGGATTACTAAAACAATTTTCAAATTGTCCAATGATGTAAACATGTATTTTAGTAAATTCATAAAAGAAGACAAAAAAAGGGGCAGGTGAATTTCCTGGATGGGTGTTGTATCTTAGCTGCACTGACACCAGCTCTTAATAAATGGAAACTTATTTATTTTCTCAGTTGAAAGTCATATTTTTGTAGCTTTAGTTTTCATTCTGTATTGCTCATCCCTTTGTTCGTATATTTGAAGGAAAGACTTTCTTGCAGCTGTTCTACAATTACCAGATGAGGTTGATCCGGCCAATGAACGATGCCAGGAGGGTTGTGAGCACGCCTGGGACATTGACGTTGAGGACTAGATAACACATGAGATACTGCTCCGTTTGTTGTGTGAATGGTGGGAACTCCTCCATGCTGTTATGCTTCCCATTTCCTATGTCCAAACCACCCTCACAAGTACAGGAATTTCAATTCTGGAAGGGTTTGGTGGACTTTTTCCCCACGCTCCAAGTCTCAGAGCTTTTAGCCTGAAAGTGTGTAAACACCAGTGGATAGTTTCACTTCACAATAGGATATAATAACACGTTCGTTCTTTTTGATGAGTTTTTGTTTAAAAGCCAGAAACATTTTCATGATCAAGGAGACTACTTTTGCCCAGATTTCATTTTATTTTTTCAGGCTTTCCTTTAGTTGTTGGGACAAAACACACAAACTTGCTGCAACGGTGTAAAACATATTAACGACAAAAGGATAGCAATGAATGCACTCAATCCTGACTGTTAGAAAAGGCCTTTGAAAATGACCGGCAATGAAATCAAATGTCTCAGCCACTTCCAACTGTGCTCAAAGATTTTTCTAGCCATCAGACACAATTACCAAGTCTCAGAGCTCTGCCGTGGCTTGCATGCTTGGTGTCTAGTCGTCCCGGCAACTGTTACGTTCCAAACGATTTAGCAAATCTTTCAACTTCAAAATGATCAATCTTTTATATAGTCATCAGGGTCTATGGAGAAGCATGGATGTGATAGTGATTTTTCTTTTCTTAAAAATGTAAACTGTGGACACTTGAAGAAACCAAACTTACCAAAATATCCCCCCCAAAGTCCCATGATATCTCCTCCATTAATTCTTTAGGCCATGACCCTGTGGTACTTAGGATATTAGTGCAGCTCAGATCAGAGCCAAGCAATGAAATCACCATGAAAACATATGTCCACTAAGTACTCCAATGACCAGTGTAGGCAAAATGAGCTTCTGTCCCTGTCTACTCCCTGCAGAGCCCATGTAGTCATGCTTCTGCCCTGTAGGCACTGTCCTGAAGTGACTTGTCAGACTGTGGTTACCCTGTTGTCACATTTTGTAGAAGTAGTTCTATAAAAATATCGTGAATATAATGTACGTCCAATTGGATTGTTAAAAAACTACTTATAACCAATCACTAGTCTACTAAAATGACTAAAATGACGTCAGCAGTCTATATCCGGGCTTATGAACATTTCCTGGTTTCTAACAGAAGTAAAACAGGTTTGTGGGGGGTGAATCCCTTGTTTGGATTTCACAACTTTCCTGAAAGCTAGGCCTTCTTCTACATAATGATTTTGCATTGGGGTCACCTTGGTACGTTCACACCAACCCACGCTCTTCTTTCCTTCATGAACCCTGGTGGGCTCTTCTTCACGCTGTTTCCTGATAACCATCTCTGAATTTGTCATAACTGTTTGGTGTCCTCTGGCAGGCAATTGTGGCCACCTAAAGGATCTTCCCTTAGAGAAACAGTGTCCTATGCTTCTCGAACCCATCTCTCCACACCAAGTCACTCTGAAAACACAAGTGAAAACTCCAAGACCTGACTGGCTAGAGATTTGGATTTAAACTCCTTTGCTTTACTTTTCTCTTTCTTCCCCTTTCCTTTTCTTTCCATTCAAGTATTGCTGAAAGAAAACTTTTTTTTTCTTTTGACCAAAATGGCTAAAATGGCTTCCTATCGCAAAGGGCTGCCCCAAAAACTAACTGGCAAGAATCTATTTTCTTCTATGGTAAGGTAGCAAGCTCATGTTGTTTTGCTTTTGATAAATTCAGTAAAAATTTGTTCTGATACAGAAAATAAAAATGAGCTTTTTTGTTTTCTTGAGGAAGTATGCAAAAATGGTTGGTGGCTCCTTTGGCAAAAACTGGTGCCTGGTAGGTTCAAAGTGACACAAGAACAGAAACAAGATTATAAGACCACTGAAGGGCCCAACCCAATATTAGGGCTTCCTGATTAGTTTCAATGTGTTGACCTTTCTGGCCAGGAAGAGGTCGTCTTTCAACCCCACTATGACAGAACCGTTCCCATTTTTCTGACTAAATTAAGTATAGACCAATGATGGTCATCATTGGTACCATCTGTCTTGTAAGACTATGATCTCCCATCCCAGTTCAGGGTTCCAGAAAAGTCCTTACCCAAACTAAAGTCTCTTGGGTGCGTTGGGAATCAAAGATCCATCAAGAGGCTATTTAAGAAGTGGAAATCACCTGTTTACAAAGACATCATCACCATCATCATCTTTCTTTTTAAGAAAACTTTTACTTTCATCTAAGCAATTTTACATTTCAAAATGTCACCTTGAACTAATATAAAAGACTTTAAAGATAAGTGATTGTAACTAAGGCATGTTGGGGAACACCAGAGCTCTTTCCTTTCAAAGGTTGGGACATCTTATGATGTATTTTGTACAGAATTTAATTAAAGACTTAAAACAACAGGGGATTAAGACTATTTGGTTCAAGTTGGAAAAGAGATAAAGCCTAAGAAAGCATAAACATAAAAGCATAAGAGGAAGTATAAGAAAATTGGGGATTATTTTCATGTTGAAAGGCAAAAGAGTACAACTTCCTTACTTGGGATTGAATATGAGTGTTCAAGAGCTACATCTGCAAATAACTAGCTATGAACTTGGAGAATATTCATGAAACCGTCAGAGTCCTAGGGACCTCATTTGTAAATGAGAGTGATTCACCTAAATGGCCCTAAGGTGCCTTTCAGACCTGGCAGGATGTGAGTTAGGATAGTAGTGGGAGCCTTAGAATAGACCTTGGAGACAAACTTGTCCTGTGCTGATGGGCCTCTTGTTCCAGCACCCAAGCAGTACTCCTGGTGTACAGGTTTTGCTCTGGACATGTGGAAGCTAAGTTCATGCCTCTGCTTCACACTTTGGAGTCTCCTTAGGTTTAAAATGCAGTTTCAAAATTCAGGTTCTCCTGGGTCACATCAGGTCAGACTTCTCTGTTTATTCCTAGGATTTTCTTTTCCATCTCAGCTCTGCCTGCCCTTTTCTTGGCTCCAAGCGCAGTTCCAGTCAATCCCTTCATCTCTAACCCGTATCTCCACTTTTCAATTGTAGTTAGAGTCTCATGGCCCCTAGATTCCTGTGATTTTTCTTCCTCATTTTTATTTCCACAGGTGAATCTGGGGTTTAGGAAGCAACCCATCTTCTCACTTCATTTCCTGTCCTGTTCATTTGATTTCTTTTCTTCCATTCATAAGTCAAATTTTGGTCTACCATTCTTCATTTTCAATGAGAACCTCAGTAAAGAAAGGAAGGAAAGAGCAAAATGAGGAAGAAAGGTAGGAAGAGAGAGGAAAAAGAATATTAAATCAATTGGTTTGATCATCAGCCTACTCACAGGAGACCAAATAGATGCATTCAACTTGGACATGGCATTCTATGGTAGAATCTGTCCATTTTCTCTTCTGTCCCTATAGTCTGCCTATTCACTATTCTGTTCCTCTTTGTGGCTTTTGGAATGGTAGTAATATCACTGTGGTCCTTCAAAGGAACTTCACTATTTAGGGCTTGACTCATTCTCTTTAAAAATCAAAGGGAACTGAGATTTCAGTTATAACTCATCTGGTAAATTCTGTTTCTGCCCCTCCCCTACTCACTCCATGTTCCCAAAGCGCATTTAGTTTTCTATCCAGCAGAGATGATTTGGCACTTAAATCCCATGATCATATAAAGTGGTGATATGGCCCTTCGGATTTATTAATGAGGGAAGAGTAATTAGAAATGATTTCCAGCCAGCTTATATGAGTGTGGCCATATTGGTTTTTTAGGTGAAGTCTGCTCTAGTTGGTTGTTGCCCATGTAATACCAGTTGTTCATATTTTAAAAATTGCCATAAAATAAGACAGTTCAGCCTATACTTTTATCCTTAATTTTATTTCCCAAAGAACTACAGAGCCTAATTTGCCATTGCTCTGGCAAGCTCGTCTGGAACATGTACAGAGAGAAAGGAGCCAATGTGTCCCGAAGCGGCAACCCGTTTGCCAAACACCAGTTAGAGTCTGCCTTGTATCACAGACTCATGTGGTTAGACTGGGGGAGGAATGCTGAGTTAGACTATCTGTACTAGACCTTCCTCTTTTGCTTCATTTTTTGAAAAAGGGCCCGAGACTTAAGTATCTAAAGACAGGCCAAGCCAGGAAATGCATCTAGGAGCTAGGAAGAAAGAGCAAAACCAAAATGATACAAACAGCAATTTCAAGCACCATCAGCCAGGTGCAGGTATGTGGTGGCAAGAGTTAGTGCTCTGGGTGGAAAGGAAGGAGAGATTGTATTGAATCATATAGTTTGGGAAGAATGCAGAGTGATATAGTGCTTGATGGGTTTTAGAGGTATTTAAAAGGGAAATAGATGGCTGGAGAAATGTAGAGAATGAAGGTTTTCCAGGAAGAGGTGACTTAATGGTCCATGGCTCATTGGTGGGAACGGGATTTCAATACATAGGCCATTTTGTCTCTGGTGACACGATCCTATAGAGGAGGTGACGAAACCTTAGATGAGACCTGAGGAAATAGATAGTCTGAAGGGCCAAGCCAAGAGATTGAGACTTGAATTAGAAAGCCATGGAAAGCCACCAAAAGTTTTAAACAGGGTGATGAACACCAATGCCTGTGCATTTTTTAGGTTGAAAGTTTTGAGATGTCAGCTCCTCCTGGAAGTCATCAGGAGTGCATGTGCAAAGCTAAATGTTTTTCTCAGCTGCATGGAGTTCTCAATGGTGCACATTCCAAGTCAAAAACAGTATATGAAGAACCTACCTTCCTCAGATGAGTGTTATGGATCATACTCATTGTAGAAGTTTAGTTGGAGTTAGTTGTGGGGGCTGGTGGGCAGATTGGGTGTCGGGGCAACGA